GGGCAGGTCACCGTCGGAGGGAGGCTGTTACCGGCTCCAGCCGGGGCAGGTCACCGTCGGAGGGAGGCTGTTACCGGCTCCAGACCGGGGCGGGTCACTGTCAGGGAGGATGTTACCGGCTCCAGGCCGGGGCAGGTCACCGTCGGAGGGAGGCTGTTACCGGCTCCAGACCGAGGCGGGTCACCGTCGGAGGGAGGCTGTTACCGGCTCCAGGCCGGGGCAGGTCACCGTCGGAGGGAGGCTGTTACCGGCTCCAGACCGAGGCGGATCACCGTCGGAGGGAGGCTGTTACCGGCTCCAGGCCGGGACAGGTCATTGTCAGAGGGAGTGTGACATGAGCTCCAGCCTCAGATATCGTATCTTCGACGTCCGGTTACACACGTCCATGTTCGCATGCTGATCCTCGCAGGATGGCTTTAACCTGCATCTTCCACGTATCACTCTGAACGTTTGACAGCGAATACAAACCAGTAGCGGGCAGTAAAACGATAAACGTAAACATAAAACTAAGTAACAGCTGAAGCTGGAGACTGGATGTGCCATTGGTGTTTCACGACCTACTCATGTGCTGAGGCTATATTGTGTCCCCCGCCTCTCACCCCGGCAGGAAGCGCGGGCGCCACAGGGCATCAAGCCTCGCACATCAAGAGGGGCAGATGAGCAGCTTAACGTCTATACAAGCGGTACCTCGACTGGATACTATATACCTCTGGGGTTTTCCCACCCCTGAGGTAATAAGCTCTCAAGGGGGAGGGGAAGAATGCTCCCAAGGCATTTACAGTTACTTGCTGCCTGATCTACGGTGGGAAGTCCCTACATTACATTTCTTGGGAGCTTTCCTGCCTTTGATCATGCAGTCAGTAATTGTGAATGCTCTGGCAGCATTGCCTCCCCCGCGAGACACATCATCCATTCATTACCGGAGGTGGGCTGCCGTCATGCCTCAGCACAATTGGATATCCAATGACTCATTGGCGGGCGCTGCGAAAACAGCGGCACGCTCAGCAGTCACGCTGCCGAGCGTCTTAGTACAGCGTGGACTGGAACCATATTATCCCAGGTCTTGTGGTAATGACAGCATTTAGTCAAGCGCGCAGTCAAAGCCATGGAGCTTTAGCGGCGCCCTTAAAGGAAGAGTAGGATGAGAGATGCCGGGCAAGTGCAACCTTGATGTCAGAGGCCAAACATGGTTTACTTGGGGGTCTTCTCAGTTGAATGCTCAGCTGAAATTTTGTGGTGCGTTCATTGTTATTCTGAGGTATCCTGATCTGTCGCTGGCTCATTCTGGAATAATGGGTAGGTGACGATTCCAGATATCTGATTTGTTTTGGCACATTTTGCATTTCAACATTTTGCTGGTGCACCTTGCGTTCCAAATATGAACACACTGCATGCTTTGATTCAGTCTCAGCAGAATTGATTCAATTCTGGCTTAAAACAAAAAGGGGCTGGCTCCGACTACGACACCGACAACTCAGCTCGACTTCGATCCTATCCGTTCCCACGGAGTTAGAGTTTGAACTTATGTTGAGATTCCAGTTCACGGACATGTGGATGAATTTTGAAATCCTTGTTGCTTAAATTGATTCCAGTGAGAATGGTCTAAAAAATGGCCTTTTACATGAAAGCAGCACGGGAAAGTTTATTTCGACAGCTATGCATCGCTTCTTCTGCGTGAAATGTCAGGTGGCGTCAGAGGACAGGACGGACCTTGCGAGCATTGCGGCGCATTAAACTTTCGCCATCAAATCATGTCGTTGGCTCAAATAACTAATGCAGTTGATTCGAAAACTAATGAGCACTGCTCAGCGTGTGGTCTGATTCCAGAAATCCAGTAATTTGGATTAAATCTTTCTAAAAAGAAAATGCAGTTACTCATGATTGGAGTTTTGTGGGTGCACTTTTATGCTGTACAGTTATGAATATGCTCCGTTGCTTAAATTTCTTTAGGAGTCACCTCAACGAGGACTTGACTGACTCGACTCCGAAGCAATGAATGACAGGGGATTTCAAAGGTATCGATGCCACGCCGACTGAATGCACATTTGGCGGATTCCGGGGTCGATTCCAACTCCGCCCCCCGGCAAGCACGAGGCTGGCGATGGGCAACGCTGGTCTGAGATTTGTTCTTGAAAACTTTTTAATTGCAAGAATCATTGCGTTGCATTTTAAATTATGTAGCGTTGTGATATTGCTGCTCCCTCTGTCCAATTTACAGCATTTTCCCATGAAAATGCTATAACTTATGACCCATTTGTAAAGGTCATGTCAGAGTCAGGTTTATCATCACCTCGACAGCACAGTTCATTTGCTGGCATCTGGGCCATGCTATTGGTTTGTCTTGTAGCTATCATCAAGTTCAACGTCAGTTATGTGTTGTTCTGTCTGAGAATGGAGGGTAGGGTCATCATAGGTCAAGTTTGGTTGAACCTGCCCAGGTGAGCTTTTATGCGACAATAAAGGTGCATGCGAATGCAAGAATATGTCGTGACTCACGCCTCAACATGATGTTGGCAAACTTCATGCGACCCATCGTAGATAATTCATTGGGCAAAGGTTACGATGGCTCAGAAAAAATTCAACGCAAGTGAGTGTCGATCATCATGGTTCACACCTTGATTAACGCAAAGTATGCTGTATCGGTGATGCATTATTTTTTAACTAATGTTGCTTGCGGGTACTTACCTTCAGGGGTCATTGAGCTTTCATAGACCAATCAAGGTTGGTTGAGTTGTCAGTGACTGTATGCGGCATCTGAGCTGACCCGTCAATACCTGTGACTGCAGTTGCAAAATGTATAGAGTTCAGCTTCAGTGCCCATGCTCATGTTTGCAAGTCATGGCGTAACGCTGCATTACGGCTACTAGTGCAACACACTTCATGACTCTGTGGCCTCCTTTGACTTGACACAACTTCTTCACCTAGTTTCCGGACATTGGTCATCAGAAACAGTTCGTCTTATTAGGCCTAATGTGTATAGTGCAGCTGAATATGGTGGGTACCATGTGGGAGATAGAAGAACTATTTTGTGTCATAAGGAAGCAGCATGATACCTGTCGACGACCATATGCCTGTCATAGCTGTCATAACCTACCAGCGATCATATGCATGAACGAAATCATTGCTAAGTGAGATGGCGTTAAATAAAACTTAAGAACGTCTCACCGATGATCACAGCACAAATTCCTAAACTTTACAGCAACACAAAGCGTGTGTCACCTCCATGATCTAGCTCGACCTCATAGGTCACATATTGACCCAGAGAAAAGAGCACAGTTGAACAGATTAGACGGTGATTAATTTATCGAGCTTTCCCCGTTTTTTCTGTATTGTTAAGAACGACACTGGGACTATGTATTGCGCACTAGTGAACATTTCAGATGTTGCGACTATTCCATGACTTGCAATGTCATTCATTCACCCATATCCCAAAAACAAGACAATAGCAGAACCAAAAGACAGCGAGGAACGCGCTAATGGCTAAGGAATTCTCTTGTGTTACTTAGCTTGAAAATCATGTCGGGAGGAAACATTTTGTCTCATTTACAGCACAGTCCGTATGAGACTGTTATCATGACCTGAATGTTTTTTACTGACCTGATACCAAAAAAGAACATGGTGTATAACTCAGACGCTGGGCAGTATGCTCCTGCGTTCCACGATATTATATTTTTCTTACTTCAAAAGTGGGTTGGAGAGCCTCCTCCCCCTTCCCCGTCGTCTGGCGAGGGCTTTTGGCCCTATTTATGGCCCTATTGAGCGAGGATAATCAAGCAAATTGCCTTGGCTGCATGTTCAGGTTCCTTATGTTTGCATGGTACGTCGATATGTAACGATGTTGTGGGTCTACTTCCACTGCAAAGGGGAAAACACTTCGGATGGATTTATGGTGCGCACATCCATTGACAACCGTCACACATTTCGATCAACGATCGAAATGTGTGACGACAATGATCTCACTCGCCTCCTTTTAATAAGGAAGGCGAATGACCAATGCAACCGAAGAGCAAACTTCCAAAGTTGGGAGCAGTGTTGCAGATAATTTTGTTTACATTTCCTCCTCCACTTCTTAGTAATTCGCACACGTTTGTTGTAATCACAACTACGAACACATCAGCAATGGATGTCACATTTGTACCGACTGAATGGACCCTAAGCCCGGAATTTCAACGATGCATAGACTAATAAATAGCCTTAACGCCTCCTAGGTGTTTCATAACTTCAACTAAATAGGATTTGAACAGCACGATTGGACAGCTGGAAGTAGTTTTGAGTCTGGGCTAGAAGGGCAGAGTCAGCGAAATTACCTAATCATTGATTAAATTGCCTTTAGCTGACACACAGATCACAGTAAATCGGCGACAATGCCTTCTACCACGCACGACGTACGCCAGGGCGCCATGCATGTTTTCTTGGCACACAAAGGGGTAGAGGGCCAGACTGTTCGTAACTGGGTCCACAGCGTGGCGGCGGCGAGCGGCGAAGCGTTGGAAAACCACACCGTTGTGCTATCGCATTCGTTCGAGCACGATTGCCGCAGGCTATTGACCGCCGCGTCCCATCTGGACCATCAACGCCATTTTGTGGTGCGACCAATTCCGGCCTCTTCCCCCTATAGGCACATATTGCACCTTACCAATCACTGCGTTTGGCGGGGTTTTATAGCCCGGGATGATACCAATACCTGGCCCTTCCCACATACGTAGAGTGATCTGATCAATATGAACAGGGGCGTTGTCACCGCGTGTGGTAGGGGAGAGGGAGGGGGGGGGGGGGCCGTGCCACGAACTAATTTAACATCACATTATGCCCATGGCGCTGAATGGAAGGAATGAGCCCACCACATCCCTCGACATCAGCCCATGGTAGTCTTCTTATCATTGCCTTTACCGAGCAGTCCTCATGGAGCAAAAGGCGGTGGCATGCTTTCAGGTAATCTTTGTCCATGCGATCCTCGCCACAAATGTTCCAGCTCTAGCTAATGCATTCTGCCTTCTCACCTGTACACCGGTGTGTCTGAGTGTGCCGTGTACCAGAGGACGATAAGGGTAACGTCGCCTGCAGGTGCGCTCATGTCACAGGGCAGGCCAACCTCACGGCCCGCCAGGCCGACCACCGTTGTCACAGAAGCTGGGGACAGAACACGTCAGCGTTGTCACGCAGCCCATCACACCGGCTTCATCTGTCACAGAAGCTGGGGATGGAACAAAACCATCACTGTCATGCTGAGACAACCAGACCGACAGACCAGTCTAACCCGACGCCGTCATCGTGAGCCGAATGGAAAAAAATGAAGCGATTTATCTTAGCACTCGCCCTACTGGCGTTTTGTACTTTCGCCACACGAGGAGCCTCTGAGGGCCTCCCTAAGATCTCGAATGTTCAGTAAGCCCAAGCCAAGTAGAAGCGAAACGGGAAAGTTCTCGTCCAATTGTATCAGACACGCTTGACTGGGGAATGCTGAATGTGAGCTTTGACGAGTTAAATTAGGTCATTGGGGTCCAATCAGGACCTTTTTTTAACACCCGCCTTGTTATCTCATGAACCAAGCATGCTTCGAACATATAGAAAACAGTGTTCAAAAGCTTTCCAAAACGTCATCAACTGGGCACTAGCAGACATTCACAGGTGTTACGTGTGATTTATCATGCTAGATAAGGCATGTGAAAAATATTTTTACATTGGCCTGTCCCTGCTGTGTTAAAGACTACAACTGGCAATGCGGAGTTATGAAGGCCTTACAAAACTGTAACATAATAATCTGGAGGGTTAAACACGGGCTCGGGTGGCTGGCTAAATACCATTCACTCGGGTAGGAGGGCGGTCAAGTTTGGCCCACTGAGATCTCGACAAATAAGAAAGCTAGAAACATCGAATTTACAGCGTGTCTTGACCTATACGCGAACCCACTTAAGTCAAAGTTTGAGCTTCCTAAGCCATGACCTTCAGGTTAAATAAGGTCAAACAAGATAACATTCCAGATTGGTCTCTTAAGTGCCCCAAGAACCTAGGCAACTGTTTCTAAGCAAAAGCACAAGCCCATTTGAGGTCAGTGACTTTCCTTGACCTTTTGAAGGTCATGGTCACCAAAATCATACAAGACTTCTCTGAGTTTTGCATTTGAATAGGCGACAAAGATTACACCAGGCAGCATGTTCCTAAAACAAAACGTCTGCCCGGGTCATCTTAGGTCAATGACCTGTTCTGACCTCTAAGAAGTCAATGGAAGATGCATAGTGCGATTCTGTCAATAAATTCGAAATGAGCACTACAACCTATCCCATACAGCAGGCCCAGAGAATAAAGCATGTTGGTTTTGGCTCTAGGTCTGACCCTCATACCTAACCTTAGGTCAACGTAATTTGCTCATTCAATATTTGTGGTACATAAGAAAGCACCTCAGAAATGTATGGCTTCGTCAAACACTCTGTTATTGTATCAGATTGGACGGTTCCCTAGATAGTGCCTACGCTGAAAACATGGTCTGACTTTGGCCTGCCATAGGCCAGCGATCTTACAAGGTACAGCTAATTTTTTCAAGTCAAGCGATCTGCTATTAAATTGTCTACAGCTATGCAAAATTTGGCGCGACTGCGCCGGGCCGTTCGGAAACCATTCTGGAAAATCCTTCGGGGGGGGAGGTCAACGTAACCCCCCACCCGAGCGCGTGTTAAGAAGCATAACTTTCAAAAAGATCACATCTAACTATAAACGTTAAATTTTGGCCATGCTTTAACTTGGATGACATAGCCTTGAGAAAAACACCCAAAACGGTATCACTGCAATTCAGAGGCGTACATTTAAGAAACTGCGTCTAGAAAGCCAAGTTGGAATGTGTGGCATGCGACAATGAAAGTTTTTTCAACTTTTCCGGAGAGTGTCATTGACATGGTTTCCAGAAAGGGTCCATAAACAATGAGTCTCGAAGCTAAGCTACGTTAGTCTACCGGATTTTGTCACGATAATAACATCGTAGCCGCTTGCAGTCACCTGTTAAGGGAGAATGAGGCAAATTGAGTCACGGGATGTGTACGTTGTGCCCTCCACGCACGCACGCACGCACGCACGCACGCACGCACGTTTCTCGGCTATAATACTCCACTCTTCCTTTCTTGCACGTGCTCTGGCGTCGGCAGCCGGTGAACTTAAGTAAAACAAAACAAACGTACATATCTTACTATTTGGGCATGCTATTACCACGCGGCTTGCCAAAACTTTGGATTGGCTTATCAGTTATAATCATCGTGACTGTCGCCTGCTCTTCCCCTTCCATTGCTAAATTATCAATGTTAGTAGCTGGCGTGACATCATCAAAGCTTGCTCATCTTTTTCAGTAAAGGGCTTTGCAACCTAGGAGCGTTACATCGGTCCCTGATATTTTACATTTATTTTATCACGTGGCGTTTGTTTTCATACCTCGCCTGCGAAAGACCGTATTGTGCAACAGCTCTGCAGTTAGATGACATTTATCGTCTTAGAGGGTCAGCAAATATGAACACCTCATCTGGAAATTTTGCCGTAGATATTCAACCGGTACAATTTGTATCGCCCTCTCCTTCTGCGTTAGATTTAAGATGCAAATTTCAGAAGTTAATTAAACTCTATAAGAAAATCAGTATGACTTGTCTGCTAAAGGGAATGCTTCACATTTGGAGATATCGAAGCAAGTATCAAATATGATGAAACAAGCTCACTTATACCTATTGATATAGGTTTTAGGTCGAAAAGACTTCTCTACACAGCACAATACTCTATTCATTAAATATATTTCTCAATGCGTCATGGTTTGATTAAGCCATCGTACCTTGCCCAACATGGGTTGAGAGCCTATTGACGGCCGTAAAATCTGGAAAGCGCGCTGACGAACGCCAGATATGAACGCCTTGGCAATTAATTTTTCTTGGCCTTGATGGCTGCATAGCTTATGGAATAGTAGGGTTCAAAGCGCGTTATTATAACGGCATAACGTCAAGGTGACTTTGAAATACTCTCCCCGATATACCTTACCCTATTTTCGCGTGCGTGTATCTCAAAAACTAGAGAGGCTGAGGTCTTCCAAAGGGCAGGATTGTGAACAGTACCGAAAGGCCTTCAAGATGGCTATTTCAATTAAAAAAACCAATAACTGCGGAACACTCCCTTTAAGTGCCGTACATTGCAGTTTCACATGGCTGGAGTACCAAGCGCAAAAGAACTGCGCATGATAACTTTCCGGCTGTAAATTCAAAACTTCATGAGCATGTCTACAATAGACGCCACTGGATGCTGCTATCTATACCAGCAGTACGACACGATAATGTTGGGTTGCACAAGCTTAGTTAGCAGCGCATTGAGCCATGACGCCCAAAGGCCTGGGCTTCATTTCCTGATGACAGACATCCAAGTTTATGCCTGTAACACCAGCCACATCATTTCACTGCAGAGCTGTTGCACGACGTTATCCCTCACCGCTAGATTACGGAGAAGAAGAGCGCAGCTTAAATGAAGAGTGCATGCTCTTGATTTCCCGGATTTAATTTTTTTTAAAACATCAGCCCAATCATTGCCAAACTGATTGGTGATTTCGCTTCGTGCTTGGCCTCATGCCGAGTGGGTCTTAAGGCCTTTGCACAACAACCATTTGGCTAGTTCACTCGTTTGCATAGTGCATCTCAGCTGTGATTTTTCACTGCTGGGTGTTAATTAATCGTTTCTGTTGCAGCTGAAAAGACAAAAATCGCTGCTTTGCTCGGCCATGAGTACTTCGCATTCAGCCAATTTCAAATATGTCAGCTGCAGAACAGAAGTTTGGACCGGTTCAACAACATGGTTACCAGGCGCCCAATCGCAAAGGAAGCGTGAGACTTCCGCCACTTTTGTTGTCCTCATGGAGGTGACATCCAGTGCTGGCCGAAAGCTTAATGATGCTTGATGAGCTGTGCCGATGCTTTTTTGAACGACGATGTGAGGATGAATCCCACTTTTGTAGGCATAGCTCCGACATTCGTGGTCTACATTTACTCCTGATTATTCGGAATAATGAGACTTGCGCCCTATATGCAGTAGTTGCTATCATGCCAGGCAATCATGCTAGAAAGCTAGTAAAATAAAACTAGACGAGAAACTACAAAAGAAGTAAACAAACCAAAAGTGCGTTAAGATCTTCAATGATTACTTCTATATCGTCGGCAAATCCCAAATTCGGCAATTCATGACGCACGCATTCAACACTTTTTATTTAGCAAGAGCATTTGCGTTATCCCTTGAAGTTTGTGTTAGATGCTTGAGAACTGCATTGTTTTTTGTCCTGATGCTTTACTTGGTTAGTTGTCATTTAATATGAGATAGAAAAAATAGTTTTTCAACAAAGTAAAAACCCTGCCATAATGCCAGAATATTGTAGTTTTGGTCGAATCGCAGAAGACCAATGACGTTATGACGTTTTCTTATTCTAGCGATTTAAGGGCTCTTAAACTCTCGGCAGCAATAAACAATGCACCTAATTAACCAGACATCTAGACAGTAAGCGGTGGCCTGTAATGTCAGCTAACCGTATAGCTGCATCTGCCCTGCGTGGGTTGGCCAGTCGTGCTTTTGACAGGCAGGATTGAATCAGGATCTTTAATCTTGGATTTAAGAGGATATTAAATACCGCAATTTGTCCAGTGCATTAGCGGGGAATATTATTCACATAGATAAGACTGGAGCATTACCCTTATCCCTCGGAGAAAACCGAGAGAATGGACATATAGTTGGGTTGACATTTCGCCAACATGCCTTTATCGAAACAAAAGCAGAAGTGAAATAAAATTTTCTTCTGCACAAGTGAAATTTTCACTTCTGCTATTGTTTCGATAAACGCTTCTTGCCGAAATGCCAACCCAGTTATATCTCCACTCTCCCAGTTTTTTCCGAAAATAAAGCTAATATTACTGTCTTATCTATGTTAACAGCATATTGGCCAATACTTATCGCACCGCCATTACCGGCCTTGGTTACAAACTGTAGAATTACATCCAAGTTGTGCTAAGACATGTTGAGGAAATGCAACGTATTGAAATGCAAGATATTTCATCAGGAAGCATATTTCCAGCATGTCGCAACACCACCATTTCACCTCCTTATTCAACTAAAAGCGAAAAGCAATACGC